GAGACAACAAACAAAAAANAAAAAAAAGAATAAAAAGATAAATAAGCAAAGAAGAGTTCGGGAAGGAAGAGAGTTGCTACGTAGTTGGACACGGAAGAGGGAGAGGGAGAAGAAGAGGAAGAGGAAGAGGGAGAGGGAGCCGGAGCCGGGGAGAGCGCCGGGGAGAGCGGGAGAGATCGAGGAGCCGATCGATCGATGCGCGACTGAGATTTCGATGGGAGGGGGATGGATAGGTAAGTGGGTGGGATATATATAGGTAGGTAGGTACACGTACGCGTTAGGTATTTCCGTCGACACGTAGGTGTGTATATGTGCGAGGACGTATACCTACCTTAGGTAGATACCGGGAGGGAGCGAGGGAGGTACCTACAACACAACACAGCATACCTATATAAGAGCTGATATACCTCGTGTGCGGAGGCGCGTGATGTGATGTGATGTAATGTAATATAATAGATAAGTAGCAGCGGGAGATGTGATTGACTATGATGATGTGTTGTTGTTATTGCTATTTTTGGTTTTCTTATTCCGCCACGCGTACATCTCATACAGTACCGTAGGTATCTATCTACCTAAGGAGGTACCTACTGCATGTTTGTTTCTGTGTGCTATCCCGGTGATAGAAAGTCTTTTCTTATATGATGCTACTAGGTACGGTACGGTGCTATACTTAAGTACCGTATTATATCCTGTTCGCGTTGCGCGGATAACAATAAGAATAACAATAACAATGACAATAATGATAATGATAATGATAAGAAGAAGAACAGACCGCCGATACTTATTTACTGACGTAGGTACCCCTTTCATTTCCTCGGTTAAGTACCTAGGTACCTATTCATTCATCCATTCACGTACCTACCTACTTCTTTCTTTCCTGCGCCTTATCCTATCTTACCGGTATCCCTCGTCCCCCACCTCTCTTGAATGAAAGCAAAGAAACGGAGCCAATACCAACACCCTTTTCCTCTTCCCTTCTTTGCTTCTCCCTTTTCCCTCCTCCTTTCCCCTCCTCCATCTTCTTCTTCTCCTCTCCATCAAAGCCAAAAGACGCGAAAGATTTAAATAAAATCCGCGGACTGCAAAAGCCAAAAATATATATATATATATATATATATGGACGAGGAGAGATCCTTCTTCCGTCTCGCACCCCTCCCCTTCGTGCGTCCAATTCTTCACATCAAATGAACAAGAAAGAAAGAAAAGAAAAGAAAGTAAAGAAAGAAAGAAAGATCTATCCCGGGTTCGGTTCGGTTCGGTTCGGAAGCGATAGCTTTGGATAGAGCGCGGGGAACGGGGGCGCAGGGAACGGAAAGAGAGCAGAGGCGAGGCGAGCAGAGCAAAAGAAGGCAGAACCGCAAGTAAGTAAGTACCTACCTTACCTTACCTTACCTTACCTTATTACCTCGGTAAACCGAACAAAGATACCTACCTACGTAAATAAGTAAGAGAAAAGCAAACCCCTCCCCAAACATTCCCCTCCGCGCCATCACGTGATCCGAGAAAGATACCTACCCCCCCCCTCTCCTCCTCTCCTCTCCTCCTTGATCTACGGTACCCCGCCCCGCCTTCCCCCTCCAAAAAAAAAAAAAAAA